GATTTTTGGGGAGGTGGGGCTGGGATCTTTGGGGATGTGCAGCTGGGATCTTTGGGGATGTGAGACCAGGGTCTTTGGGAATGTGGGGCTGGGATCTTTGGGGATGTGAGGCCGGGATCTTTGGGGATTTTTGGGAATGTGGGGCTGGGATCTTTGGGGATCTCTGCGGCTGTGAGGCTGGGATCTTTGGCAATGTGGGGCTGGGATCTTTGGGCATCTTTGGGGATGTGGGCTGGGATCTTTGGGGATGGGAGGCCAGAATCTTTGGGGATGTGTAGCTGGGGTCTTTGGGAATGTGGGGCTGGGATCTTTGGGGATCTTTGGGGATCTTTGGGGATCTTTGGGGATCTTTGGGGATGTGCGGCTGGGATCTTTGGGCATCTCTGGGGCTGTGAGGCTTGCTGCCAGCTCTCAGTGCCCTGTTGGTGTTTTCTCTCTCCCAGCTATCCAGGAGAGCAGATTCTCCCCCTGCCTGCCCCTGCTGCTGAGCCCAGCCCTGGCTGAGACGTTCCTGCAGGGATCCCAGATGGATTTCCTTCCCCTGAGGTGGGATGGGGTTCCTGGGGCTGTTCCTTTCCCCTGGCTGGTTCTGCACTGGGTGATGGGTAAAGGCAGGGCCTGGGCTCAGAAATGGGGGTTTGGGGCTGTGTGGAGAGAAGGCACCTCTGGATTTTGCCTTCAGAAGAGGTTGAGCAAGGGAGAAGCAGGACCAGGCTCTTCTGAGCTTGTCTGCTGAGGTACCCGGGGAAAATGAGGAACTCCACCCTCTTCAACATCTCTGGAATAAAATTCATGAAATTTTGGGGACAAAGATCAGATTTCTGCATTTACAGGAGGAAAACATACATGGACAGTGTTGTGGTTTATGCTGGAGCCAGTGTGTAATTTACAGAACAAATTTGGGGTTAAAATGCATAAAGAAAGCCGTTTCAGTAAAAGGCTTTGTCACCTTCATTTCGAGGTGCTCTGCTTGCGTGGAATAATATTTATTAGGATTTGATGGTATGTTTAATATAAAGGAACTATTAATTAAGCAATCCCCAATATGAGAATTAGAATTTTATAGGAATTCGTTGCTTATCTGAGTCCTGGCTGCTTTTATGTCCTTTAAAAAAATAATTGGTATCATGAACTGAATTAGGTGATTTATATTAAAAAATCAAAGGCAAGCTGTGATATGTGTAAGTACATGTTGCATATTTTACTTAGCTAATTTTATTTATTTATGTAACTAATTACAGCCTGTCAGTAAAACATGTTTCAGTCCTAAACAGGTTGAAAAATATTGCCATACTAAGTAAAAATTGTTATAATTGTTATATTATTTTTGAGCCTTTGTTTTATAGGAGATTTTTGATGTTTCTTTGCATTCCTTTGGGTTTTGCCCCTTTAGGGGATGCATTTATGGGTATTTGTGTGAATATTGCTAACCCCCAGTTGTCACTGAGGTTCTTTTGTTTCTGATTTAAACCAGCGATGCTGAAATAAAAGAAATGATCAGAAGTTCACTTTTCTTGCAGGGGAATCCCGGATGTTTCTGGAGCATCCCTGGAGCATTCAGGGCCTCCCCACGTCCACGGCAGTGCCCTTCCCAGTCCATGCCAGCACTCCCAGCCCGTGGGACAGGCGGATCCTGGAGCTGCTGCCCTGCCTGCGGAGCCCCTGGGCAGCCGGAGGGACAGAGGGGACAGGGGCACCCAGCAGGAGGCAGCAGGGCCCCGGGGCAGGGGGGATCCAGCACCCCCAGCTCCAGAGGAGGGGCTGGGGAAGGGGCTGGAGCAGCCCTGGGGCACGGCTGGGGAGGATGGACACTGCTGTGCTCGCTCCTCCCAGGACAGTGATGGCCCAGCTGCTGGCTCTGAGCTGTCAGAGGGCAACAAGGAGTCCCCGGGGCAGGAGGAATCCTCCTCCTCCTCCTCAGGAAACTCCTCCTATACAACGGCACTGACCAAATTCTCGGAGAAAAGTGAAAGGGGGATGCGGCAGGAAAAGGTGAAAGCGGTTGGGAGTGGAGCAGGAGTCCTGGAGAAGCTGGAAAATGGAAAGAAGGTGCCTGAGCTTGGTTTGCCGAGCAATTTCTGTGACATCCTGAGGAAAGGCCGTGCTACAAACTCGGCCGCTCGAGATGTTCTTTGTGCAGCAGCTGCTGGGGCAGGCAGAGGAGCGCAGGAGGAACGTGGGGAGCAGCTCGGGGGCTCCCAGGGAGCTCTCCTGGCCCTTCAGCAGCAGCAGCCAGCAGGGAGGCTGGGCACAGAGGGGCTGGTCCCTGCTGTGCCACCCAGCCAGCCCCAGGAGGCTGCCCCGTGCCCTGGGCACTCCCCAGGGCAGGCAGAGCCCGCGGGGAGCAGGGATGAACTGACTGCCTCCGACTGCTCCATAGAGAGGGGACACAGAGCCACAGAGATCTCCCCTTCCTTCAGTCTGGGAGCTGAGGGCTCCTTCTCCCTGCACCTGGCTCATCCCAACTTCCAGTCCACTCCAGGGCTGTTCCTGAAGAAAGCTGGGAAGGCAGAAGGACGTGCTGGAGTTGTGGAGATCCCTCCGGACCTTCAGGCCTCTCCTTCCCATTCCAATGAAGAAGCCCCAGGGGAGTCCCCTGCCCCTGGATGCCCTGGGGAGCAGCAGCCTCCCCAGAGTGCTGTGGACAAGACCTGTGCATGTCTGGAGTCCCTGGAGCTGGAATCCCCGTGCCCTGGCAGGATGCAGTCCCTGCCCTCGCTGGGCTTCCTGGAGAAGGTGGGAGCACGTCTGGAGTCCCTGGAGCTGGAATCCCCGTGCCCTGGCAGGATGCAGTCCCTGCCCTCGCTGGGCTTCCTGGAGAAGGTGGGAGCCTGGGACGTGGGCCAGCCGCAGCAGGGTCCCGATGCCACCAGCTCGCGTGTCCCAGGTGCGGTTCCCCCTGCAAGGGAAGCCTCCAGTGCCCGCCCCAGGGCTTCCAGCTGTGTGCTGCCAGTGCAGAAAGGCCCTGGAGATGCCGAGGGCCGCGCTGCTCCTGCCTGCGGGGGCACAGGGTCTCTGGGAAGTTTGCGTTTCCCCCTCCCAGAGGCGCTGCCTGCCCCTGCCCTGAGCAGGTCCCGGTCTGACAACGCCGTGAGCAGCAGCAGCAGAGCCCTGGCTGGAGCCAGCCCAGGGCAGCTCTGGGGGGCTCTGGGGGGCTCTGGCAGCTCCACCACTCGAGAGGTGGCTCCTGGATCTCCAGCTGAAGGCGTGCGGAGCGCCGCGAGGCGAAGCTCGGCCCCGGCTGTGTTCGTGTCCAGTGCTGCTCAGCTCCTCAGAAAGGACGGGAGCTCCCCGGCTGAGGAGCACCAGGAGTGTGAGGAGAAGGGAAGTGAGTCCCTCAGCCTCAGCATGCCCAGTGGTGACGATATCATGGACATCTTTGGAGCCATTTCCTTGGAGAGTTTGAGTTTTCCTGATGGTCCTGGGGAGCCTCAGGAGGCCCTGGTGGTGCCCGGACCCTGCCCCAGTGCAGGAGGGAGCAGCCCCATCCCCCCTGGAGCAGCACTGGAGACTCCCAAGAAAGAAGAGTTGAATATTGAAGAAAGGATCCCGGTAAGTTTGGTTCTAATTCAAGCTCTGGTTCCAGAGTTAGCCATTTTTTCCCCAGCATTAGCCATTTCTTTTCCCAGAGTTATCGCTCTTTTTTTTCACTTATATTTTTTTTTCGAGTTTTCCATTTCTTTTTTAGAGTTTTCCATTTCTTTATTAGAGTTTTCCTTTTTTTTTTCAGAGTTTTCAATTTGTTTTTCACTTTTCCATTTTGCCCCACTGCTCTTTTAGGAGAGGATCTAATCACTACAAGCCAAAACAAATGGTTTTACACAGCCTTGTGCTACAGTGAATTTCATCCATGCTACTGGTTCAGCTTAGCTTAAATACAGGTGGAAAAATAACTTTTAGTAACATTTAACATGGACAAAGACAGGGTTGGATATGGGAAAGGTCTCTTGTCATTCCCAGGGGTAGCTGAGTGTCAGGGTGTAGGAAATGGATTTGTGGAGAACTCTCAAAGCCTGGCAGAAGGGTCACCCAGTGCAAACCTTGAGACAAGAAATGCTGACTTAGAAATGCCATGGAATGGGACAGCCATTGTTGAGAGATAAATGGAACCAGAAACGAATTTCAAAGGATGGCCTTGCAAATAAGCCTGGATACTTCAGAGAAATAGAGCTTTGAAAGATGCATTGTAGTGGGACCCACAGGTAATTTTAGGTGATTGGCTTTAAGGCATTTACATCATGCTGTGGCTAAAGCTGATAGGCCAAAAAACACTTCTAGTGTATTGTAATTAGGAAATAGTCAACTTCTGATTGTGATGGTGTGAATTATAACATCTGTATTGTCTCACCCTTCACATGAGACTGGAAATGGAATGACAGTTTTAAAACACCTCTCACTTATCCCATCTCTGGGTCAGAAAAAGGCATAATCTGACATCAGGGGAGCAGGAGGAGAGAGAAGGGGGAGTTGGTGGCTCTCTCAGATCTCTCCTTGTCCAAACGTGAGGTTCAGGTGCTGAGTGAGGAGAGCTGAGCTCCCCCCAGCTCTGCAGGAGCAGCAAACCCAACACTACTCCTTGGAAATGAAATTTCTTATTTTCCTGTGATTTTCTCACTCTGCTTTTTCACTTTGTTCCTGTTCCTGAGGCCCCAGTTCTGAATTATTGAAGTGTTCCTCATGCAGGACCTTCAGAGCTCTTCCTCCCTTCCCTGCTCTGTGTCCTGCCTGGCTGATCCAGGTTCCCCTGGCTGGGCTGGAGCCAGGGGAGAGCACTGCAGCACCTTCGGGGCAGAATAGCTGGGAGTGCTGGAGCAAATGAGATGCAGATTTATGGTAATGACAAACATGTTACTGTCCTCTGAGTAAGAGGCTGCTCCTCTCACAAGATGACTCCGTAATCACCAGCTCTTTGGGAATGTGCTCTGGAAGCTCTTTTCCCTCTGTTGTCTTTGCAAACCCGTGGTGAAACAAATATAAATATTGGAGGGGGGTGTTTGAAATGGCATTCATGAGCCACAGAGATGAGTTCTGTTCCTGGCTATAATTACACTCTCAGCCTAGTTCTGAACAGTGTTGCTCCTTTAGTGGAAACTAAAGGAGATCAGGTCACTCACCTGGCTGTTAATGTGGAAGTGTGTCATCAAATCACAGGAAATGGAGCTGTAAGGTAATGAATTTATTTCATTTTCCTGGCTAGTTGAGGACATAAGAGTGAATGAGTTGAAATTAATTTGCCCTACAGGTGATGAAGTCAAGGAAAATTTTGTCTGTATTTTTTCCCTGCATATAACATCTGCGTGTAAACCAGCCCTGACAAAAGTGCTCCCAACCATTTGCCTGGAAGGTTTGGCCACACTCGTCCTAAAAAATCAGGAGCTTCCCTGCTGCTGCTTGGAATTCCCAAGCCTGCCAGTGTTTCCTGAGCAGCAGCTGTCTGGGGAGGGAGGAGGCTTTGAAGCCACAGCTGTGTGTTTGTGTTGGAGTGTGTGAGACTGTGTGTGAGATTGTGTGTGTGAGTTTGAGTTAGTGTGTGTGAGTGTGTGTGTGAGTCTTAGTGTGTTCTAGTGTGTGTGAGTTAGTTAGTGTGTGTTAGTGTGTGTATGTGAGTTAGTGTGAGTCTGTGTGTGAGTTTTAGTGTGTGTGAGTTTGTGTGTGAGAGTTAGTGTTTGTATTACTGATTGTGTGTGTTGACATTTGTATTTCTGATTGTGTTTGTGTTTGTTTGTGTTTGTTAGTTTGTGAGTTTGTGTTTGTATTTCTGTGTGTGTGTTTGTATTTCTGATTGTGTTTGTGTGAGTGTGTGTTTGTGTGTGTGTGTGAGGTGGACAGGAGCTCCCAGCGGCGAGGCTGGGCTCTCTCCCTGAGTTTGTGTTTGTATTTCTGTGTGTGTGTTTGTGTTTGATTGTGTTTGTATTTGTGTGTGTGAGGTGGAGAGGAGTTCCCAGCAGCTGGGCTGGGCTCTCTCCCTGGGCAGCCCGGCTGGCAGTGCCGTGCCCGTGGCGAGGCTGGCAGGGCTCTGCTCCGTCCTGCCCCGGTTGGCACCGTGTGCTGTTCCCCCAGGTGTACCTGCGGAACCTGGGCATCCAGCAGTCCCCTGGCACCATCCTGGCGCCCTTCGTGCCGCGGGGGTCCCTGTGCGAGCTGGAGTTCTCCCCCTGGCAGCCCAGGAGCCTGCAGCCCGCCCTGGGCACCCTGAGCGAGGCTCCCCCGCGGGCTCAGGGTACGGGGCTTTGCTTCTTTCCCTGCGCTGGCTTATTGCTAAGAACTAATCCTAATTGTTGTATATTGTTGTATGATATTAGCCTTTATTACATTATATTACTATATAACCAAGATTATTAATAATATATGTTATATATTATTATATAATTAATTTTAACAGTTATAAGTATTTATAGCCAATTAAAATTATAATTAGTTAATAAATAATAATTATTGGGATAGATTATTATTAATAACTAATTCTAATTGTATATTATTATTATAGTAGATATTGTATTACATTATTATATTATAATACACCTAATAATTATAATATACATTATATATTATTATGTAACTAATTATAATTGGTATATGTATACTATAACAATTATAATTAGTTAAATAACACAACTCTGATAAGTTTGTATTTTGTCTGATATCTATCTGAAGTACTCCTGAGATTTCTGTCAGGAGGCAATTCTCATGGAGATCTTGGTTCAGGTGCCATGCTAAGAGCACACCTTAAATACTTTCCCGCTCTGTCCTCGCTCGGTGTGCGCTGTGGCACAGGCAGGGCTGTGCGCTGCGTTCTGGAGCCCCCGGCACTGATCTGTGCTCTGTTCCTTTGCAGGTGCACTGCTGCCAGCCTTTGAGATGTGCCAGGCAAGCCGTGGCTCGGACGTGTCCCCTCTGAGCGTGTCCCTGGCCGCGGGCTCCGAGGCTGGCTGGGGGCAGGAGCGGGAGCTGCCGTCCCCCCGGGAGCCGTGTCCCAGCTCCCCCAGGCTCCCCGGGGAGCGCCCACCCGGCCAGGGCACCGTGCCAGGCGCCCAGCTGCCGGGGGCTGCCCCGGGCGGGCCACCCCGGGGTGCACAGGGAGCTGCTGGGGCAGAGCAGGACGTGCCCGGCCGCTCCCCGGGCAGGGCTGCCCGGGCTGGGGGTGCCCCTGCTGGCCCTGAGTCCCGGAGCTCGGGCAGCAGCGGGCAGGGATGGGCTGCGGGGACGCTGTCTGGGGCTGGGCACGACACGGATTTGGACAGAGCATCCCAGAGCTCCGGTGTGGGCAGTGAGAGCAGCCAGGGGCAGGGAGGGCATTCCCTGCTGGGGCCCGGGGCGCTGCGGGAGCTGCGGGAGCTGCTGGCATGGGCAGAGGGTCTCGCTGCCAGCTGGAGCCATGCTGCTCGGCCCACAGTCCCCTGCAGGGAGCCTGGGCAGGATCCCAAGGGTGCCAGGTTAGGCCAGGACCGGATCCCTGAGCTGCAGAGGAGACTGTCGTGGGATGAGGCCGTGGTCCAGAGCGGAGAGCAGGGACAGGGGCTGGGGATGCATCCTCTGCCCCCTGCCAGCTGCCAGCTGCCATGGGGAGAGCCTCTGGCTGTCAGTTCCCAGCGCAGGGAGGGGCTGAAGGGAATGGCCTTGGAGCCAAGGACGGGGAAATCCACGGGCAGGTCGGAGCCAGAGGGGTGCAGCGGCGTGACCACGGGCAGGAGCCAGGCTGCCTCTGTGGGGCTGGCACAGAGCAGTGCCAGCAGCCGCCTGAGTGCCAGCACAGCTCCAGGGCCGGGCCATCCTCCTGCCCTGCAGCCCCTGGGCAGCGTCACTGCCGGCCTGGGGGGCTCCCAGGGCTCCCTGTGCCAGCCCGGGAGGGCAGCAGGGACGCGGGGCAGCGAGGACAGCAGCAGTGGGGATTCCCTCAGCGCCCGTGTCAGGAGCCTGCTGGGGAGGCCTGGGCACTCCCAGGAGCTGGGCAGTGCCCCGGGGCTGTTCCAGAGCAGCGTGCCCGGGGCTGGCAGTGCCCCAGGGCTGTTCCAGAGCAGCGTGCCCGGGGCTGGCAGTGCCCCAGGGCCGTTCCAGAGCAGCGTGCCCGGGGCTGGCAGTGCCCCAGGGCCGTTCCAGAGCAGCCTGCCCGGGGCTGGCAGTGCCCCAGGGCTGTTCCAGAGCAGTGTGCCCGGGGCTGGCAGTGCCAGGAGCCGGGCAGGCAGCAGCAGCAGCAGTGGTGACTCCCTGGCAGCCCGTGTCCGCAGCCTCCTGGGCACCACCTCCCCCGGGATCCCTGCCAGCCGCCTCCTGAGGAGTGCCGAGGAGCACGAGAGCAAGATCCGAGGTGAGAGAGCCCTTCAGCTGCCCGTGGCACGGCCTGGGGTGGCTTTGGCACGTGCTGGGGTGGCTTTGGCACATCCTGGGGTGGCTTTGGCACATCCTTGGCTGCCTTTGGCACATCCTGGACTGGCTTTGGCACGTGCTGGGCTGGCTTTGGCACGTCCTGGGCTGCCTTTGGCACATCCTGGGGTGGGTTTGGCACGTGCTGGGCTGCCTTTGGCACGGCCTGGGCTGCCTTTGGCACATCCTGGGGTGGGTTTGGCACGTGCTGGGCTGCCTTTGGCACATCCTGGCGTGGGTTTGGCACGTGCTGGGCTGCCTTTGGCACAGCCTGGGCTGCCTTTGGCACAGCCTGAGGTGGGTTTGGCACGTGCTGGAGTGGCTTTGGCACGTGCTGGGCTGGCTTTGGCACGTTCTGGGGCGGGTTTGTGTCAGGGGTTGCTCGGAGTGATGGGATGAGGCTGCTCCCTGCCTGAAGGAGATTATATATTGGTTATTTCTCATGTAGTGTAATGAGAAGCTTTCATGGAGAGGGCTTCAGTGAGGGGCACTTCCCAGGGATCTTCTGACTTCCAGCAGGTCTCTGTGCAGTGCCTGTGGGGCGGGTTTGGCTGGGTGTTCTTTGGCAATGTTCAGGCTCTTGCTTTCAGAGGTGACAGCTCCAGGAATTCAGGTGCCCCTGGATTTTCTTGGCATTTTCCTGTTTGCCACGGGAAGTGTGTGAGCTCTGAGGGCAGGGAAAGAAGCAGGACCCTGGGGAATCCTCTGTGCTGTGACAGAATTGGGTAGAATTGGGCTTCTCCAGTTTGAAAACTTTCTTTTCTTGACATCACTGTAAGGGATTACTTTGTCCACACAATTATGAAGTCAGGAATGTGGGAAGGGATTGTGTGAGTGAGCTCTGACTTGTGCCTGAGCCTGTGAGGATGGCAGAACCAGGAAAGTCTTGGGTCCATCTCTCCAAAGAGACATTCAAGGAGCCCTTTGCTGTTGTATTCCTGGTCATTGCAGGAGCTCTGGAATTTGGTGTGCTCTTTGTTCTCTCAGCTGGGCTAACCAGACATGCACAGCTTGCCTTGAAGTTAAAGACTCTTCTTGTAGATGGAATGGGAAAGGAAAGCTCTGCTGGTCTGTTTTTTTGGCAGCCTGGGTGAAGCTGAAGCTGGCCAGCCAGTCCCAGGAGCGTGGGCCAGACTGGGATGAAGAGACCCTGCCCAGGATGGAGGGAGTCGAGGCAGAGCTGCTCCCGAAGGCCAGGAAACCTGGACAGGCCAAGGTACAGAGCAGCTCAGCTGGGGGAATGCTGCTGCCCCTGCTTTGGGGTTTTGGGGGCTTTGGGGTTCCTGTGCTTTTCCCAGGCACGTTGGGGTGGGTTGGCCCTGGGGGTGGCACTCAGATGTGCCAGAGGAAGGCGTGGGGGACAGAGGGGTGGGGGAGGATTGGTGCCCAAAGCTCCTGGTTCTGGGTTGGCTGCAGGAATTCTTGCCACAGAACGTTTGTGGAGGAGCTGGTGGTGCCTGGGAAACTCCCGGGTGGCAGGAGCTGGGTGGCATGGGGCACCCCCAGGCAATGGCAGCGTTTGTGGGTTGGGGGCTCCTGGGGCAGGGGGGCTGGAGCCCTCCTGTGCTGGGGCAGAGGGCAGGGCAGTGTCACTCTGTGGCACAAAATAACTCACAGAGGCGGGCTAGATGTAAAAGGAAAGAAAAAGAACTTAAGAAAGTAAACTTTATTTTCTGACTCCAGTGTATATACCGTAGCAAAAGTGACAGTGGATTGGAGGGGGAAGCCGCCACCTCTCCAACCACACTGGTCAAGGCAGCAGCCCATCAATCCTCTCCTCACACAAAGAAAAATGCAAAGCAATCATTGTTTACATGAGCAGTGTGAGAAAGCTCTGCTGAAATATGTAAATATCAGAAGATGTATAGGAACTTTAAAACTCTCAAAAGAACAGGGAAGGGAAGGGAAGGGAAGGGAAGGGAAGGGAAGGGAAGGGAAGGGAAGGGAAGGGAAGGGAAGGGAAGGGAAGGACAGGGCTGCTCCAGGCTGCTGCAGGTGAGGATGCTGGCACACAGGGTGTTCTCCAGAGAGCTGGGCAGTGTCTGGGGGAGTGTGGGGGTGGCTGTGCTGGGCTGGGGCAGGCTCAGTGCTCAGGGCTCAGGGCTGAGGAGGGTCAGGCTCTGCAGCTCTGACTGGAGCTGCCATGGGTGGTGCATCTCCCCTGGAGTGTTTCTAGTTCATTACAGAACGCATGTCTGGGCTGCAGTTTGTCTGAGCAGGAGTGTGTTACCTTTGTTTTCACTTTAAATGCAGTTTCTGGCACTGCTCTGGTCTCCAGGGTGACTAGGGCAAGGTTTTTAGGGACTGGTGGTTCAGACAAGTGCCCTGAGCTTTAGGAAGAGCTCCCTCTTTATTTTTTCCTGTGATTATTTTCCTGTTTTCTCCTGCAGCCTGCCTGCCTCCTGGGAAAAGCAGCAGGGGTTGGTTTGTTTGTTTTAATTAAAAGCCCTGCATTAGAAGGAGTGACAGTCGTGCTTTGGGAGTACTCTGTGTTCTGAGCTTCTCTGCATCAGCAGTGCTGGGAGGAGACACAGCAGCTCCCAAACCCCGTCAGGCCCAGCTTCCCAGCTATTCCTGGCTGGTGGAATCTCTGGGCAACTGGGGAAAAAGAAAGTGACTATTTTATTAACAATTATTATAGAAATAAATTATACACATAAAAGAATACATTTTAATAATATATATAAAATGTAATGATATATATTATATTTAATATAGAAATATTTAATATATGATAGCATTATAAATATTATATTTTAGAAGTTCACATTTCTTAAATTTCAGATTTCTTAAAAAAAAGAAACAAAACAGAAATACAAAACCAGAGGCATCAAAGCTTTTCCCCCCAGATTTTAGATTTTGTTGGTCACAACTTTGTCCCTAAAATGAACTCTGTGCAGTGTAGACCCAAGGATTTTACCTTGCTGTGACTCAGTGTCAGCTGGGGATTGTTTTATCCCCATTTAGAGTAAGAAGAAATTCCCCATAATGTTGCAAACCAGGCTCCCGAGAAATTGCTTTAGTTCAACCACAGCACCTCATGCTTTGATCTGGAAAGTACTTTTGCACTGCAATGTTTTTAATTTGAGATAAAAAAAGGTTTGAATTTACAGAGTGAAGGTCACTGAGTTTTTTTATTGTACTTAAGATAAATGTACTTTTCCCTCCAAGACAAACACTGTCACTGAAAAATACAGATTGTTCAAAACTATTGCACTGAAAAAAACACAGCCAGGCAAAATATTCTGCTGTAAATGTAATGGGAACTGTTGTGTACAGTAAGGGTGGAAGTTTTAGAGCCAAAGTGCCATGCATGGGCTTAAAAAGAACAGCACAGAGGTTAGGAAAAGACATTTTCCTTCTCCTAAACTTTTCAGGCTGAGAAGGACAAACTGTTCCTACTGAAGCAAACAACTCCTCCAGCAGGTCTCTGTGCAGTGCCTGTGGGGCAGCTTTGGCTGGGTGTTCTTTGGGAATGTCCAGGCTCTGCCTCTCGCTTTCAGAGGTGACAGCTCCAGGAATTCAGGTGCCCCTGGATTTTCTTGGCATTTTCTTGTTTGCCACGGGAAGTGTGTGAGCTCTGAGGGCAGGGAAAGGAGCAGGGCCCTGGGGGAGTTCTCTGGGATGTTTCACTTGGGAAGATTTTCCACCTTTTGAGGCCGGTGAGGGTCTCAGGGAGGTGTTTGTCACAGGCAGGGAAAATCCTGCGGGTTTCCCACATCTGCCTGAGCAGAGGCTTCAGGAGGGGCACTGCAAGGGGCTGCAAACATGGCCTGGAGTGCTCTGGAGGGCTCAAAACCCCTGGAATATTCAACATGAACAGGCTGGCAGAGCTGGGAATGTTCCCCTGGAGAAGGGAAAATTCCAGGGAATGCTCAGAGTCCCTGTAGGGGCTCCAGGAGAGCTGGAGAGGGACTGGGGACAAGGGACAGAGGGACAGGAGCCAGGGAATGGCTCCCACTGGGAAAGGGGAGCTTGGGCTGGGATCTTGGCAAGGAATTCCTGGCTGGGAGGGTGGGAGGGGCTGGATGGAATTCCCAGATTTGCTGGGGCTGCCCCTGGATCCCTGGCAGTGCCCAAGGCCAGGCTGGACACTGGGGCTGGATCCACCTGGGGCAGTGGGAGGTGTCCCTGCTGTGGCAGGTTTGGAGCTGCTGTTGGGTGTAAACACAATTCCAGCATCTTCAACCTCAGGATCTTCCTCCTAAGTTGAGGACCTGATCTCCCCACCTTATTTTAGGATGCCAGATGCTCCCTCTCCCCTTCCCTGTGGGTTCCTTTCCCCTTGGTGCAGCGTTTTCCTCCACTCCCTGCTGTACTTTTCCACTCCTTGAGCTTTCTCACTTCTCCAGGAAGTTCACGGAGTTGTAGCTCTAAATTTGCTCTGCAGGCTCCTGTGGATCATATGGCACAGGGAGCTTTTTTGGAAGCATGACACATAAGAGGCACAATAAAACATGTGAAAGGCTTGGGAAGATGAGTTTATCACAACTTCTGTGCCTGCTCTCTCGGGTGGGAGTTGCTCTGGATTACCTCAGGCCGTTGAACTGGCACGTGGTGCAGGGAGGAGAAGGCTTGGGATCATCCCTGTGCTCTTCCACAGCCCCTCCTGGCTGGGGGAAATGCCAAATAAACCCATTTTTTGCCTTAAAATCCATAAAGGGATAGAGAAGTGGGATAGTGATCCAGGCCCTGCTGGAGTAGTTACTGCTGTCAGGATATCTGGGGTGGAGAAAGGCTGGGAAAGCTGTTGTGAAATACTTGTTTATATGTTTGCTTTACACCAAAAATGCTTCCCGCTGCTTTTCCTTGCCAAATTCCCACTAGTTGATGGGGATATAATCACCCAGGGGCCCGTGGTGCTTCATGACTGGAGTACACTCTGCTGCTTCCACAGTTGGCCCAACCAGTAGGAAAAAGTAAATATAACCTAGATTTTTGTGTCTTTTTTCTCTAAGTCAGCTTATCTGGCCCATCTCCATGGCAGCACATTTATCTCAGATTTACTCTCTTCAGTGGAAGTGCTGGAATTTTGGGTTGTACTTGAATGAATAAATTCATGCTGATGGTTGGAATCATGGAATCATTCGGGTTGGAAAAGGCCTCCAAAATCATCAAGTCCAACCATCAAACAGCACCACCATATTCAGCACCAGAGTCTCCTCAAGTGCCTCACCCATACATGTTTGTGCAATTCCAGGGATGGTGACACCACCAGGTCCCTGTTCCAATGCCTGCTAACCCTTTCCAGGGAGAAATTGGTCCTGAGATCCTTTCTCAACATGCTCTGGTGCAACTTGAGGCCACTGCAGGAGTTCTGTGCACAGGAGGGTGCACAGAGCCCCACACGCCTGGGACGTGGGGATGGGAGGGCTGGGTCCCCATGGAATTGTGTGTGAGCCCTGTCCTGCCCCAGATGCCCACAGCAGACCTGAAGGGCAGGGGTGGGAGAGCTGCTGCTCCTGGCACGGGGTGGGCTCCACTGCCCCGGGCTGCTGCCAGGCTCCAGCCTGCCCTGGGCACTGCCAGGGCTCCAGGGGCAGCCCCTCCTGTGGTGGGACCAGCCCTGGCCTGGGAAATGGCTGGGCACGGTCACTTGGCACTTCAAAAGGATAAAGTTTAATGAGTTCCTTACAGCTGGGGATGTTAAGGAACTAATTCCTTGGCTGGGTTCCCTCCCTGATGACAAACTCTTGGCTGGTGACAGCTCTCGTCTTTGGCTGTTCCTGCCAGGTTTGGCCGGGGTGGGACGTTCTCCACGTGACCCCTGTGAACTTTTCAGGATCCCTGGCTCTGTGGGTTGGAAGCAGCTTCTGAGTACCTGAGGAAGCAGGAGCGGGTCCAGGCTTCCAGCTGTCCCAGGGACAGGGGTGGACACCTCTCCAGGACCCATGGACAGCTCTCCAGCACACATGGACAGCTCTCCAGCACTCATGGACAGCTCTCCAGCACACGTGGACAGCTCTCCAGCACTGAGGGACAGCTCTCCAGCACTCAGGGACAGCTCTCCAGCACCCATGGACAGCTCTCCAGCACCCATGGACAGCTCTCCAGCTCTCATGGACACCTCTCCAGGACTCAGGGACAGCTCTCCAGCACTCAGGGACAGCTCTCCAGCACTGAGGGACAGCTCTCCAGCTCTCATGGACAGCTCTCCAGCTCTCATGGACAGCTCTCCAGGACTGGGGAGCTCTTCCAGCCCAGCTCCCCACCAGCAGCACCATTGCCTACAGCTGATCCCTGGGATTGGTCTCTGCTGCAGGACGTGCAGCTGAAACCTTGGGGTGCTGCTGACCTGCAGGACATCCATCTGAAGCCCTGCAGCACTGCTGACCTGCAGGATGCGCAGCTGAAGCCCTGCAGCACTGCTGACCTGCAGCTAAAGCCCTGCAGCACTGCTGACCTGCAGGATGCGCAGCTGAAGCCCTGCAGCACTGCTGACCTGCAGCTAAAGCTCTGCAGTGCTGCTGAGCTGCAGGATGTGCAGCTGCAGCCCCCGGCCGTGGGGCACCCCAGCTCCATGGCAGAGCTCCGTGCCCCTCTGGCCCGGGATGACGGCGCAGGGGGCTCTGCGGCCGCCCCCTGTGCCCACGGGGAGCTGTCCCTGGCAGGCCTGGGGCCGGGGCAGGGCTGGGGGCAGCCGGGCGGGCCGAGCCCCTGCAGCAGCCCCTGCTCGCAGAGCCGGGCCGGGCTCCTGCCTGGGGAGCAGGGGCTGGGCACAGAGCCCCGGGCTGCCAGGCAGGGCTGTGCCCCCAGCCCCGGGCCGGCTGTCTCAGCTGCTGCTGCTGGGGCTGCTGCTGGCCCTGCAGCTCCGCAGCAAGCAGCCCGGCAGCCCGGCAGCCTGGCTGGGAAAAGGCAGAGCCCGGGAGCAGAGCAGCCCCAGCTGGTGCCCGGAGCCGTGCCCGAGGGGGACGCACGGCGTGCCACGGCCGGGGGGCTCAGCCAGGAGGTGCAGGCATCCCCTGAGCCCCCCGCTCCGAGTCCGAGCCCGCCCCGGCAGCAGGAGATCCCCCCTGGCCACAGCCGGCTCCCCCAGAGCTCCGAGAGCCCCAGCCCAGCTGCACGCCGGGCTCTGCTGCAGGGCCCTGCCCAGGCGTGGGCACAGGGCAGGAAGAGCCCCGAGGAGCCACCAGAAGAGGCTGGGAGGGAGCAGCTGGGCGCTGCTCAGCCTTTCCCTGCAGATGAGGCTTTATCCACCGTGCCTGAGGCTCCCTCGTGGCCCGTGAGGAGATTCCTGAGCTGTGTGCACATCACCCTCTCCTCCAGGGCCGGGAGCGGGGGGAACGGGATCCAGCCGTGGGACAAACCTCACGGGAGGGCTCGGGCAGTGACTTCAAAAGCAGCTCCAGAAGCCTCAGTGGAAGCTGCTCCTGCATCCCCTCCTGCTGAGGGTGCTCCCGAGGCTCCCAGCTCGGCTGAGCCAGTGGCCCCAGCAGGTCCCAGCCGGGCCTTTTCCCCCAGGCAGGAGCTGCTGCAGGGCAGCGCCAGAGCCCGGCTCCGGGACTGGGGGGCTCGGGGCACCCCCAGCTCTGCCCCCGCTGCAAAAGCTGGCACGAGGACTTCCGACGCTGCCACGCAGATCACCACGGAAGGTGCCACGAGAGCCACGCTCTCCGCAGAGATCTGTGTTGATGCCCAGGACGGGGGAGGCCCTGCCCAGCTGCCATCGCTGCCCAGCGCCCCTGAAGCTCCTGGGATTGCAGCTCCGTCCCGCAGGGAGATTCCCCCCTTCCCGAGGCAGCCGGGTGAGCAAAGTCCTGCCTTACCTTGGATTTGTGTTGGTGAATGTGAAAGCACAAAACCAAACCCAGCTTTTTTGTGGAAATAACATCCTTGACATAACTGGGATATTTGAAGTTGCTCATATGAGGGGAAAACCCCAACCGTTAACCTTGAGTTTTTCAGCCCTTTTAGGAGGGATTTGTGTGGACAGAGTTGGGATTCAGTTCAGGTTTCTCTAGGGCTGAATCCATTGTGTCCAGGTGTGGTTGGAGGATATTTTCTGGTGTTTGTGTGTAGATGGTTTGATTTGATTCACTTGGAGTTCAGTGAGAGCTGGAGCTGATTGCTGATTAACTCTCTAGTCAAGACAACACCAAAAAATCAGGGGCAAATCTGCACATGGCTGTTTTTAATAGAACAAAACAGAAAACTCTGCAGGGTTTGGGGTATCTATCAGCAGAGGGATGTGGGTGTTCACAGCGTTTCCCACCCCTGTGGTGTTTGGTACTGGGGCTCTGTTGTTGCTTTTATTGACTCGAGGGACAAATCCCTGCTCCTTCAAACTGGGATCAGCTGGAGCTCTGTGGGTACAGGAGATGTTTCTGGAAGTCACTGTTTGCCACCCTGACCACAGGGTGATAATACTTAACAGGTGAAGCTGTTTTTCCAGGTAAGGGATGGTAACCTTCTACCTGTGGGTGGGGATTAAAAAATCCAATGAATCTAATTTAGCTAATGAAATAGCAATCCATTTGGCTGAAGAACAGGGTATTCCTCAGGCTGTAGCAGCAGGAGCAGCCTGCCCAGGCCCTGCCCTGTTGCATGAGGGTTTCCAGCGTGGCTCCTGCTCACTGTTTGCCTTGCCCCCCCAGCCCAGCCCCTGCTGCTGCCCTACAAGCCCTCGGGAAGCTCTGGCATGTATTATGTGCCTTTCCAGAAGCCAGGAGCCACCGTGTCCCCCGGGGAGCCTGAGGCCAGCACAGCCAGCTCCCACTCAGGTACTCACCCTCTGTCCAGGCTGGTGGCACTCTGCTGAATTGTCTGTGAGCAGCTCCTGCTGCGGGCTCTGCTCTCCTCGGGGCTGCAGGGGGTGCTTGCTCCATTCTGGCAGCCAAAAGGAGCAGAACTCGGTGTCTGCAGCCCCATCAGTCCTTGCTTTCCTCTGGGAATTGCTGCTCACTTGGGATCCTTTCAAATCTCTGCTGCTTTTCCTGGAAAGAGCAGGCCACTGGGTTTATTGCAGGTTTTTCTTACAGGTTATCACAGTTTTATTTGCAGCTTGGTTTCACTCAGAGCTTTATAATACTGAGAGTTTTGTGTTAGAGATGTCCAGTTCTTGAATTCCAGCAGTGGTGACCAAAGGGTCAGGCTGATCCAGCAGTGCCAGATGTGCCCAGAAATTGTGCTGGGCACAGTTTAGGTGTCCCTGCTCTTGACCTTTCTCAAGTTTATCTGGCGAAACGTGTCCAAAATGAGAGAAACAAATGTGCTACAAATCTGTTGTTTTGCAGAAATGATGATGCCATATATAAAAATTCACTATGCAAATGAAGCAGCACAAGGTTCTAGGAAAACGTGCAGCAGGGTGGAAAAATACATTTTGTTTTTCCCAGTCCCTGCTGCACTCGGGGCTCAGCTCAGGGGGGCAGCTGAGGGAGCTGAGTGCAGGAAATCCATGGGATGTAACCAGGTGGGGTTGGCAAAGATGAGGAATTGCTGGGGACAGCTCAAGGTTTCCAACCTGGAGACAGGGGTAGGCTCATGGAGGCATGGAATGGTTTGGTTGGAAGGACCTAAAGCCCATCCCATTCCACACCTCCCACGGCCCCAGGCTGCTCCCAGCCCCATCCAGCCTGGCCTGGGACATCCCAGGGCTCCTGCGTGCTGGCTCATTGTGGCATTTCTGTGTCTGCTCCCCTGTTTCCTCCCGCTGCTCTCTCTGTGCAGGCTCAGAAGAGGCTCCTGCAGGGCTCCTGGCCCCAGTGCTGGGTGTGGCAGATGATCTCCCTGCAGCCAGGGCAGTTGCCCAGCACGGAAGGATGATCCACGCTCACCGGCCCAAGCTGGCCTGGCCTGAGGAGCACAGCACGCCACTGGAACAGCCTCCAGGTAATTAGAATGTGGACTTAATTTTGTAATCGTTTCTGTGTGTTCATACATGTGAAGGAAATCAGAGCAAAAGATCTGACGTTTCAGGATCCATGGTTCTGGTGGCATTGCCGAGAGTCTGCCAGAAATTGCTAGATTTGACTCTGTTTTCCTGTCCTTCTGCTTCTCCCTGACTGATAAAATCCAGGATTCCCTGGGAGGCTCTGGGCTCTGCATCCCTGGAGTGTCCCAGGCCAGGCAGCACAGGGCTGGAGCAGCCTGGGACAGCGGGAGATGGCCCTGCCCTGGCAGGGGTCACACTGGATGGGATTTCAGATCCCTCCGACCCAGCCCATTGCAGGATTCCAGGGAAAACTCGGCCATCGGCATTTGCTGGCATTCCTGTGTCTCCAGGGATTGTCAGGAATTCCCAGTGGCCGGCATTCCCTGAGCTGGGCTGGGGCTGGGGCTGTCCCTGCTCAGGGACTCTCCACTGGCCTGGGATGTCACATCAGGTTCCTCTGTGCCCTGCGTGTCCCCGAGCTGCAGCTCAGTGTGCTGCTGTCCTTGCCCATGTCCCTGTCTCTGACCCGTCCTTGTCCCTGTCCTGTCCCTGTCCTTGGCCCTGTCCTGTCCCCGTCCCTGTCCTTGGCCCTGCCCTGTCCCTGCCCTGTCCTTGGCCCTGTCCTGTCCCTGTCTGGCTGGAGGAACTGCCTGGAAGGAGGAAGGTTAGGGTTTGCTCTCCAGGCTGTCTTAGGTGAGGGGGAGGAGGAAGGCCACTCCAGGCTGTGTTTGGTGAGGAGGAGGAGGAAGGCCACTCCAGGCTGTGTTTGGTGAGGAGGAAGGCCACTCCAGGCTGTGTTTGGTGAGGAGGAGGAGGAGGAAGGCCACTCCAGGCTGTGTTTGGTGAGGATTCTGCCCCAGGGGTCAGGCTGAGCCCAGCCCTGGGTGCCACCTGGCTGTGGTGGCACTGAGATGCCACCAGCACTGACATTACCCCAGCTGGAAGGAATCCTCCTGGACACTTTGTTGTTGGAATTTGTGGTATTGATGATTTTGAGATTGTAGAAATTTTCTGTCTGTCAGCCCCGCTGCCAAAGCAGAAGCCATAATTGGTCTGTGCTGGTTTCAAGGTTGTTTATTCTGTTTATCTCTCACATGTTCTGCTGCCCTGCCCAGCTCTGTCCTGCAGGGCAGCGTGTGGGGCTCTGCCCTCAGTGGGATGTTACAAACATTCAATACCAGAAACTCCCTGGGCTGGATTTACAATAACGTGCCAATATCTGTCACCTACGTTGGACAGTGTGTCCCCAGCCTGAACCAACAGAAAAATGCCAACACCACAGTGAGACATGGAGGGCATGAAGAAGGAGAAAAAGGACAAGGCACACCCAATTTCCTCCATCTTGTCCCCTTTGGACCCCTCATCTAGAATCCTAAAATTTTACTTTTGCACCCGTGCCACACTTAATTATTACTTATATCAAACACTCAGAGCTGGTAATTGATCCTGTAAGATTGAAAACTCTTTTCCATGGACAGAGATCACAGCCAGTGTCTCTGGGGGCTCTGTCCAGGGGGTTCCTGACCCTGCCAGAGTCCCAGGGCAGCCAGAGAGATTCCCTGGATTCCCACACTTTGTAGAGCACAGACTCTGCCTGTGTGTGGCTGGTGCTGGGTTTTCATCCCTGCACACAGCTGCTGGAGCCAGACCCTCGCTGGTGGCTGCATCTCTGCAGCAGCTGCTGTGCTGATGGTGCCTGCCAGGGCCTTGTCCTGATGTGTTGATAGGGTTTCCATCTGATCATTTTCATTTTTCACTTCACATGGGTTTTTTTCTTTGAGGCTTTTCCTCTCAGAATGGTGAGTCTTTGGTGTTTCCAGAAGACAATTTTTATTTGCAGAGGAAAATTTCAATGATTATGTAAGGCTGCAACATCAATAACCTGGATAAAAATAAGGGGGAACAAAAGTGTTAATATAAAATTATCACCTAACATTTTTTATTGCTGTGATGGTCTAAAGGCCCAGGTAAGAAAGGAACTGTAAGGAGAAAGAATCTTTTGTGAAGGCAGCCAGTGCAGCTGGAACTTTAAAGGAGCTTTCAGAAGAAAGACTTGCATGTCTTAAATCTTCCCTGACTTCTTCAACTGTATTTTTAGATGATCTAATAAAAGATTACCTCTACCCACAGAGCTTGTCTAGAACTTAAAATTATGCAAGTTATGTATTTTTTTTAAAAAAAGTTTCTCTATACAAACTTATTTTTATTTTTTTGCCTGTTTACATTCCTTCCATTTCTTGGTAACTTTCTAAAAAGCCAGGAATAGCAAAGTTCTGCCTGGCATTCCCAAGCCTGATCTCATTTGTCAGGAGGATGTGGAGGAAGCCTCTTACACAAGTTTATAAACATTGCCCTTGTATGGGAAGAAAAATTCCTGCACTTCCAGAGTTAGTGAGGCTGGCCCTGGCTGCAGCATCCCTGATCTCTGTGTTCCACCTCAGCCCCAGGCTGGGAAGGGAGGAGATCCAACCACCCGGTCCTTTCTACAAAAAACACAAAACACATTTTAAAACTTGGTAGTTTTTACATTATGTTAAAAATCACTTTAGAGCTGTTCTGGAGAGTGGTCCTGGCTCGTGCTGCATGTGTTTCATGGATGGCCAGGGCATCTCCATCCCTGGCAGTGTCAGGGCCAGGCTGGGTGGGAATTGGAGCAGCCTGGCACAGTGGGAGCTGTCTCTGCCCGTGGCACTGGATGGGCTTGGGGGTCCCTTGCAGGACCAAATAAAAGTTCAGTTCAGGGCTGGTCAGGGCAGTTCCCTGAGGTGGAATTAGATTCCTCCCCAGATTCACTTGGATGGAATATTTCATGTTGCAGAAGATCGGAAATACTTCTTTATGTGATTGTAATAATGCTCAGACCGCATCTCCGGGCTCACTGCTTTTGGGAATGAGCTGGGTGATCCTGCTTTTAATCCTCTGTTGTGTTTTAGGATGAAAATCCTCCGCTTCCAGCAGAGCAACAAACCATTCCAGTGCTTTCTGTCTTGCAGAGCTCCCAGATGGTTCCAGGCGTGGTGTCCGCGTGCCCGCCGGGCAGAGCTGCCAGGATCCCAGGGAGCCCTCCCGGCACGGGGCCGGAGCTGGGCGCGCTGCCCCCTCCTCGGGGGCTGCCCCCTGGTGCCGGTGGGGTCCCCGTGCCCCCCGGGGCACAGCGGGGCCGTTCTTCACCCTCGCTGCGGAGCCCGATGACAGCAGGAGCGAGAAGCCGGGCGCCAGGGCGTCCTTCGGGAATGGGGCTGCTGGCACCGAGCTGCCCCATGGAGCTGCTGGCACTGAGCTGCCCCACGGAGCTGCTGGCACTGAGCTGCCCCACAGAGCTGCTGGGACCGAGCTGCCCCACGGAGCTGCTGGCACCGAGCATTCCCACGGAGCTGCTGGCACTGAGCTGCCCCACGGAGCTGCTGGCACGGAGTATTCCCATGGAGCTGCTGGCAGGGAGTATTCCCACGGAGCTGCTGGCACGGAGCTGCCCCACGGAGCTGCTGGCACGGAGCTGCCCCATGGAGCTGCCAGCAGCGATCCCGGGCCCCGTGGCCGGCCGGCTCGCCCGGATGAGAGCGTGGGGAAGGCGCCGCGGCCGAGAGGCCGTGCCAGGGGCGGCCTGGATGAGCTGTGGCTGAGGTTCCTGGAGCGCCAGGGCCGCCAGCAGCAGCAGCAGCAGCTCGGCGGGGTCGGGGAGCTGTCCCTCGTGCAGCGCCTGGATCGGCTGGCCAGGCTCCTGCAGAACCCCGTCCGGCACGCGCTGGCGCCCGCAGCAGCGGGGCAGAAGGATGCCGAGGAGGAGAGCCCGGGAAGGGAGCGGCCAGGAGCGGGGCTGGCAGGGACAGCCGGGCCCGGGCGCGGCGCGGAGCCCAGGGGAACGCGGGCAGGACGCAGGCCACGCGCGAGCCGGGGCAGCGGCGGCCCGGGAATGCCCAGTGACAGCTCCCCGGAGAGCAGGCTGAGCGCAGGGCCCAGCAGCGGCAGCAGCTCGGCCTGGGACACCCCGGCGGGGCTGGACACGTCCCCCGCCTCGGGGGACAGCAGCTCCCCGTCCCTGTCCACCATCGACACGGCCAGGCTGCTCCAGGCCTTCGGGCAGCGCAGGCTGCAGCTGGCCCCGGACACCGAGAGCCCCAGCCCGGCCCCACAGCTGGCCCCGGACACCGAGAGCCCCAGCCCGGCCCCACAGCTGGCCCCG